TACATCAATGCAACACATTAAAAAACACATGTTCACCATGCAACAACATGCACTAAACTCAAGTGGTGTGAATCGAGCCTGACTGCTACGGCTGAAGCAATCAGAGTGTCACTTAATATCTGACAATTACCAACCTGTCAACTGCTTGACCACGCATCTGCTTAATGCGCAGCGAGAAAAGTCACGCAGTTAGCAAGCAGAAACGGTCCCTAATATTCCTGCAAAAGCTTGGACAAAAGTTAGATCTCCCTCTTTTTTTCTTGCTTTCTAAGCGCTCCTTATGTACAATTACAATAAATCGGTCTGAAATAGTCAGGATAAGCCTAGTTATGACAGGCTCTTTTTGAACACTATAATAACTGTACCTCCGCTGTAAGTTGCCGCTGAGCATCTTTAGCCGCTCCTAAGTGTTGTACCAATTCTTCATTTTCCACTGCATACTGCAAGCAAACAGACAAATAAAATACGCTCATGAAAACACTGGAGGGTTTCTAAGTGAACACCGAGTAAAAAGATATTCGATTTTATAGATAAACTCTTAAAAAGGAACTGTTAGCCAACCCCAAAAACGTAGGAGAGCCCAAGGAGTGGTCACATCATTGTACTTACTGCTTTTGCCTTTTTCTGAATGTCAACGATCTGTGACAAAAGGTGAGTAATCTCTTCCTGTTGTCGGGCTGCATCGTCTGTCTTCTTTGCCAATTCCTCCGATATGTTGGCAATCTGGAAACTTGCATCCCCTAAAACAGAGCAATCATATTATATTCCCAGTAAATAGGAACAATTAGAGGAATTTCCCATATTTTTTGGAAAACTCTAAAAGTGGTACACCTGCAACCTTTTTTTTTTCATAATATATATATATATATATTATGTTTTTGCACAATACAAAGCATTGAATAACATTTTGCGCTAATAATACAGTACTATGCCAGTTAGAAAATACAAAAACCGGCACCATAAGTCTATATGATATGGCGACAAGACAGCTATATTGTCCCAGACAGAAGCTGTCTGCAGATAGAAAACCTAGGCCAAAGTAGGTCACCGCAAGGAGGCTCTGCATTGGGCAATCCAAAACAGGTAAAGTAATAATAAGTAAGAGAGAGACAAAAACAACCAACCTTCAACCTGCATCATTCAACTTTATGGTACTATGCAAGATTCCTAAGCCTGTTGTTGGGGAGGTTTAAATAGGGTAATAAAAGGAACAAAAAAGGAAATTCTTTCAGTCTCCTATGGTGATTACTGGCTACATACATGGGGAAGATGTTGGTGGTCACTTTATCATGGTATGTTCTACTAAGAAGCCCTCAAATTTCAAGCCTGCCTTTTTACTTTTCAGTGTGGTACCAGGCTGTATGGATGAAAAGCTCCAGAAGGTCCTATAACTGGTGACTAGGTTAGTAGTGACAGAGGTTAAGTAATTTAACCATGGCCTAAAGAATATGGTTATTAGGGTAGTTTGGTGACAAGCGGCGTCTTACTATATCTACTACCTTAAGCAGTACAGTTTGGAGATAATTGAGGTGGGGGGAGAGGGTACAGCCATCTTTTGGAGTATCACTTTTCTAATGTGTTATGAAAAAGGCAAATGAGAGATTCTAGGGTCCTGCCTGTAATCTGGAACATAAAGGTGAGCGATTGTCACCCAAATCTTGGATAGAGGGAAAAGACCATATACGTGGCACAGATTTGTGCAAGGAGTAGAGCATTTTGGGGAGGTCATCAGTCAGCCTGGGGTGAAGATCTCAAGGCAATGTTAAATGCCCAAAATGCCTTGGACATAATCCTGAATGAAGTCTCCCTTCACACCTAGGCTGTGACTACTCATTCAATCTTCAATTTGTAATGCCTTCAAAAGTTACTCACATAACTGAATGAGTTAGAGCACTGACAGAGCATGAATGCAAGCGACTTCCGTTATGTCCTGGTACTCCAAAAAAAATGCTTATTGGTAAATTAAATAATTTATATAAATAGTACAAAAGATATACAAAATATCCGGGTAAAAACTTATACTGTACAATGTAAAAATAAAACACCATTGATCACAAACCCCATTGATCACAAGGCTCCTCTTTAATTACCAAAGGCTTCATGTCTAAAATGGATAACTCTACACAAGAATAATAATTTTAAAAAAACATAAAAAAATGTTTCCACCTAAAAAAAGTACACCTAGAAGTCTGTGGAGACTGTTTGGCAGGTGGAGCATAAAATAATTCTGAACTCTAAGCCCAACTGTGCGGATGCAGTAGTAAAAAATCCCTGCATAGGCTTCTACTTTTATTCCTGGGAATCTTGTGGTAGAAAGATGCCCCATTGAACCCGTGGTAGTTAACACCCAATTACAAATATGGAAAGACCAGCAAGAACAACTAAATCTTCCAAATAGCAGATGATAGCAATGGGGCTGTAAGGAAAAATATGTAATTCTCAGCCTGCCTTTTAACTCCCATTAGGCTGTCATTTTTGATAGCTGTACAAACCTTACTCAACTCTCCTGCTTAAAGCCAACATCACCTAGCAAATTCAACATGGATGTTACACATACAAAACATGCAAATTATTTTAAATTCTTAGTGTGACTTACTTAGTTCTTTTACACAGTCATTAACAAGCTGTTGCTCTTTCTCTTCATATGTGATGGTCTCGGTCTGCAGGTGACATGCCTGTAAATATGACAGCATATTAGAGAGGATTATGTAATTCGTCAACACTGTAAAACAAGCCGAAAATATTAATTCTATAGAGAATTCCAGTACTCCGGCACGTTTGTAAACTACATGCTAAAAGCAATTTTTTTTAATGGACAGCTTGGGGAAAAAAACATTACAAACCAATGATTAGTTATAATTGCTCACATAGCCACATTCAGCTGGACTTTAGAAATGTTGAAGATATTTTAAAACATATTCAAATGGTTTCCTCAATTACGGAATAAAGAAGTAGGAAAAAAATACTACACATTTTATATCAATAGATGTCACCAGCGCTTAACACTATGCATTACTAGCCATGTTAGTAAGCCGTGTTTCACCAAAGTTTACGCTGCGACTCATAAAAGAATGTGCGACATTGTACCTCCGAGCGCAGGACGATGTTCTCATCCTCAAGATCTTTCAGTTTCTTTTGGAGTGAGTCAAAGGGGAAATAATTTTGGACGGATAACGAAGATTCATTCCTCTTCAGACTGTTACAAAAGCAAGAAATCTGTTACAGCAGTAATCATTAGTATTCTATTACACAATGTTATAATTCAAGAGATAGAATATCATTAGCTGAATGAACTACAAGAAAAGGAAGAGTACAAAAATCCTATTTTCTTTCTTATACACTGAGGAACACAGCGGCCTTTAACCTTCAGTATGCCCAAAATCAGTCCAGCTGAGGGGTGGGCCATGCAGCAAACAAATCAGTAAAAGGCCCATGTAAACACCAGGAACTGGGGATGGTCTGCAGCTCAAACAGAGGTCTACTGGCCCAAAAATGGCATCAGGAGTCAACAACGTCCACCTGGTTTAACTTGGAGAACATGTGAACAGAAGACCAGGTGCCTGCCCTACAAATATGGAAAACAGTTGCCTGATCAAAGTACTTTTGTACATTGCGAGTGTTGTGAACCAATAACAGTGATCACAAATTTAAACATCAAATGTCAACAAACCCTCCCCTTCCTGTTCCAACAATCGCTTTTCCACCGCTGTGTAACTGGAAGTAACACTGCTCCCACAGATCATTAAATGGGGGACACACTGAACAGCCAGAGGAAACACAGAAAAGCAAGGGGCCATATTGACCATAAAGTGGGCACACTGACCCTAAATATTATGGGGGTAAAACACCACAGATAACCAACAGTTATAGGATACCCACCGCTAATCAACATTTAAGTGGGCACACATCAGTGACCACCACCATAAGGGGGCACCAACTCCTGATTACTGAAATCTGCAGGCTATTCTCTATGCGGTCTTTATACAAAACAATGTTGGTGGTATTTTAGGTCCTGAAGAAATGCAGTGGACAGTGAGAACATCAGGGTTTGTTTTCTTTTTTTAAAATTTGGGAATTTTTTCCTTTCTTATAAAAAAAAAATATTTATAAACTGTGGTTTTTAAAACAGCACTAAAAGAAAGTTCTGTCTCCAAAAATGATATAGAATTAGTTTGGGTACAGTGTTGCATGACAGAGTCGTTGTCAGTCTAACAATTTTAGCACTGAAAACTTAAAAATGGCTTAGTAATCAAGAGGTATATACAGGCTAGCACTCAAGTGCTTAAACAATTGAGGGGTCTGTGCAAAAGTCTCCAATATTGACATCTGCTTGTTCAAGAGTCACTTGTCAAGAAATGCAGGCATGTACACTTTAAATCTAAGTACAAAAGCTGCTTCAGATAGGGAATCTGACAGGCAAGTCAGCCACAGCAAAGATGTAGCATTAATAGGGCTATATACTTCATTCTACTTCTGTATTTACATAGCATTAACAAATGGCACAGCACTTTACAACTTTACAACGTACATCTACAAATATTCACATAGGCCCCTGCACACAAAAGAGCTTACAGTCTAATGTTCCTACCACAGTCATATAGGCGCACACTGAAAGGCCAGTTTGGTTAAAAAAAAAAATAATGTTAAACTGTTGGACTGTTTATGGGCACCAGGTTGCACTGAAGAGAAACATGAAAAAGTATAAAGTACAATCTTCTATAAGATCGTGTTCCTGGTTGTAGGAACTGAACTCAGGACTCCAGAGCTGTAAAGCAAGAATGCTTTCCACGTGGCCAGATGTAAAATCTGCAAGCACTTCTCATGTTTTTCTACTAGAAAGTAGAGCAACAAACTTTTATAGCTGACCTTTGGCCAAGACATTTCACCGAGAAGCATTATTGGGGCCATAGTAGCTCTCTGCTTGTTGTTAAGGAAACCAAAATGATCGAGTATAAACACAATGAGGGGAATTTATCAAAACTGGAGCAGGCAGAATTTGGAGCAGCTGTGCATGACAACCAAACTACTTGGCTTTCATTTTCAATTCTTAACTGAACAAACTGAAGAGAAAATCGTATTGGTTGCCGTGGGCAACTGCTCCAGATTGGTTCTGCTCCAGTTTTCATAAATTCCCCCCAATGAATGTCTAGATCAGTTTATTGCCTTGTCTGACAGACATTATTCTGTCAACAGCTCCTATATATATATTATATTGCCAAAAGTATTGGGACACCCCTCCAAATCATTGGATTCAGGTGTTCCGTGAAATCTCCTTGCTACTAAATATTCCATGGTCAACGGTTACTGGTATGTCACATAAAATGACCGCGTAGGGTCAGCGTATGCTGAAGCGCACAAGTCACCAATTGTCTGCGGAGTCAATAGCTACAGACCTCCAAACTTCGTGTTGCCTTCAGAATGGCACAACAACAGTGCATAGAGAGCTTCATGGAATGGGTTTCCATGGCCGAGCAGCTGCATCCAAGCCTTACATCACCAAAGCGTCGGATGCAGTGGTGTAAAGCACGCCGCCACTGGACTCTAGAGAAGTGGAGATGTGTTCTCTGGAGGGATGCATCACGCTTCTCTGTCTGGCAATCCGATGGACGTGCCTGGGTTTGGCGGTTGCCAGGAGAACAGTACTTGCCTGACTGCATTGTGCCAAGTGTAAAGTTTGGTGGAGGGGGGGATTATGGTGTGGGGTTGCTTTTCAGGGTTTGGATTTGGCCCCTTAGTTCCAGTGAAGGGAACTCTTAAGGCATCAGCATACCAAGACATTTTGGACAATTTCATGCTCCCAACTTTGTGGGAACAGTTTGGGGATAGCCCCTTCCTGTTCCAACATGACTGCAGACCAGTGCACAAAGCAAGGTCCATAAAAACATGGATGACTAAGTTTGGGGTGGAGGAACTTGACTGGCCTGCACAGAGTCCTGACTTCAACCTGATAGAACACCTTTGGGATGAATTAGAGCAGGGGCTGCGAGCCAGGCCTTCTCGTCCAACATCAGTACCTGACCTCACAAATTCACTTCTGAAAGAATGGTCAAACATTCCCATAGACACACTCCTTGTGGACGCCTTCCCAGAAGAGTTGAAGCTGGTATAGCGGCAAAGGGTGGGCCAACTCAATATTGAACCCTACGGACTAAGACTGGGATGCCATAAAAGTTCATGTGCACGTAAAGTCAGGCGTCCCAAAACTTTTGGCAATATAGTGTATATGTGCACTTCTGACTTTATTATAAAGTCCACAGCAAGGCTACATACACACCTCAGGGTGAGGCGTGCCAGTGTATTTTAAATGCAGTGTATTTTTGGTGTTTCTGCATGAGTTTCCATATATCCCTATGGAAAGTAGATTTTAATGGAAAATACACCAAAAAGGCACCACGTCCACATTGCACCAACAAAGAGGTAGGAACGCATCCAAAGCTTTACATCTGTTCTTCCAAACGTATTACTGGACAGTGATTAGCAGTGGGTATAAAAATCCCAAATATTTTGAGTTCTGGTAATAAGGAAAAGGATGTTGGAAGGCCTGCCTGATAAAGGAATGAAGAGAGCAGATGACTGGTCACTAGTACTGCCTGTGGTCTGATATTTCACCATTATTGACCTACCATGCCTTGTTCTCCACTGTCTGTGTGTGTTGAGTTAGCCATCTTAGTAGTGGCAAGGTTTTGCTTCCTCATATCAGTGCCTCCAGCAAGGATATTAGTGAGCACCACCATAGTAACATCATCAAATTTTACGCGAAAACCTCAAGGGAGCAGAAGTAAGAGGTAGCAACATCTTGGAATCTTCATTGGAGATATACAGCTAAAAGGCTGTAGCTACAGGGTGCTTAGGAAACCTTACAGTAGTGCACAGCTATTTTTCAGAAGGCAATCTAAATAAAAGATAGCCTTTTCTTGATGAACCGGATGAACCGGACGAAATTTGCACAGTGGTTGCAACCATTGGCGTCCTTCTGGGCGGCATCCCTCGATCAGCAGATCGAAAGAGCCGGGATAGAAAATCTTCAGCCGAATGGAACTTGCAGCCAAAAAAAGTGTATGGCTAGCTCAAGTCTTGCATCAGATCAGGAAAATATCTACGCAATCCAATAAATCTGAGCATTGCTTGCAACAGCTGCAAAGTGTATGGCACATGGTGCAATTACTCCGAAGTCATTTAAAGCCCAATCTTAGTTTAAACCAAAAGTATCTGTTTGAATAAAAAAATGTGGACTCAAGGTGAAAAATCTGTTTTAGAAATGTTTGGTGGTATCTGGATACTTAAAAATGTGTATAAATGCATGTAATGATTTAAAATGGTAAAATGATAATGGATTTATGAAAACTGGAGCTGACAGATTTTGGAGGCAGTTGCCCTTAGTAACTAGTGTTTGTTCAGTTAAAGTGACATTAAAGTCCAAAAAAATTTCCCTCCCCCCAATTTTGATGTTGACACTTACCTTAAATGATGTCTCTTAATCCGATCTTCCTCTTCTTACCTGATGTTTTCATCTGTCCTTCTAGCGGTGCGGCGGCTCTCAGATCCAGCGCTGACTCTTCTCTGCTTGCTGGCACTTCTGATCCCACGGTGTCTGCATGCGGGTGCACGCGTCCATAGACTTACCTTACTTCTCTGCTCGTCTGTCGCTGAAAATCCGAACTGCACATGCGCCCGCCCCAAGATGCTTTGCGGCCGCCCGAGCAGTTTCGGATTCTCAGGCGGGAGCGCGCGGCGAAAACAGGGTACGTTTAAACCGCTGTTAAAGCGGGTTTTTAAAAAAACGTTTTGCCTATATCTACTGCTTGCTAGCAGTAGATATAGGCAAAAAAAAAATTAAAGAGAAGAAAATTGGTTGTCATGGGGAACTGCCCCAGATTCTGTCTGGTGCAGTTTTCTTAAATTCCTTTGTAAGTTTACTTGCATTCAGAAAAAAAAAAAAGAAAATCTGTGCATCAAGGGATGTATTCAATACACGTGTACACGCATGTAAAAGACATGATATTCGGTATCGAGTACGCATATTTTTTTTTCAGTATTCAGTTCCGGTGCCATGTGCCCATATTATCAGGAAGCCGGGCGGCGGATCATAACCCGTCACCTGGCTTCCTGATTGCCTGTGAAGCTGGTGTTCTAGCGAAAGAACACCGGCTTCACGTGCCAAGGCTGCCTGGCTCCCTGACCAATCAGGAAGCTGGGCAGCGAGTCTTGAGCCAGCTTCCTAGCCATTCAAGAAGCACGCCCGCACGTCATGACCTGTCTCCCGTCTTCCTGATTGGCCAGAAAGCCGGCTTCACTTGTGCCTAGGCAGCCTGACTTCCTGATCAATCAGGAAGCCGGGTCATTACGCGCCACACAGCTTCCTGATTGGCTAGGAAGTCAGCTTCGCTTGTTGCTAGGCAGCCTAGCTTCCCAACCAGGAAGCCGGGTCATAACCACCGCCTGGCTTCCCGATTGGAAAGAATGCCGGCTCCATGCTCCCTAGACACTTGTGGTCAGAGGGAGGTCTCCCTCTGATGACCGGACGTTCCAGTATTGGAGGTAAGTATCCGAGCATTTGGGAGAGTATGAGTACTTGCCCAAAAACTCGGCATCCGCACTGATATCGATACTAGTATCGGTGCATCCCTAACAATCACATAAACACTATACTTCCCAGATTAATTTATCATGCATTTAAATAAAACAAACGAAGAAGGCCCATGTGAATTAGGCCTATAAAAAAGACAAAAAAAAAAAAGAAGGACTTGTCTTCCTCGTTAACCATTTCACTGCAGGCCACAAACAGCAACACACAGGCAGACAGTGGTAATGCCAAATACTCCGAACTGATTTACAAATCCAGGAGAAATCAGTTAATATGTACTGTATATGGCTTAAAACCAACAATAGTTTAAAATGTATAAAAACATTAAAGTATTTAAGGAGCTAATAATAACCTGTCCAACTCTGTTGTTCTTGTGCCTCCTGCCTCATCGCCTTCCCACCTTATATACAAATAAACACAGAGCAGACATGAGCATGACAAGAGGTGGAGTTCTAGGGAGGCAACATGTACTTTGTCCTGGTGAAGATAGAACAATGAGTCTGTGAGATCAGGGACTTACGGTGTTGAACAGACTGACTCGGACTCGCTCTCTTCAGCTGCACTGGTGTAAAACTGAAGCAGTTCATCTTTCATAGACAGTTCATGGCGTAATTGTGAAACCTGAACAAGGCAAACAGACAATAAACAATGAAGTCAGCTAAACTAGAAGAGCACTCTGTAATGCAAATGAGCAAGTAAACAAAGTTCTCTGTACATGCTAGATATAAGTGAAGCATAGCATTTATTCAGTTTCATGGCTCGGAGTGAAAGTCTATCAACTGGGTCAAGTTACAGGCCTAATGAACCAGAGCGTGGCTGCTATTAACTTTTCAAAATATGTGATATCTGACCATTGAAGTAGTATTAAACTCCCAAACTTTTTTCAATAACAAATCCAGATCAAACAAATATACATTGCCCAGCAAAGCATTTGTTTACATTTTTGCCCAAACACTTAGGGGTCATCAGGTTTCCAAACAGCTGACTCCCGTCTCATATATAGTTATGAACAGAGTGACAGGTCGAAAAAGTACGTCCAAATCTTTAAAGTTGCCATCTAACATTCATGGGCACGTTTATATTAAAGCTCGTCATAGACAGCAAACAGTGGTTAGATGAGCATATATCTTTCAGATTGTTTATCCATGATGCATGCTTCTAGCCCCTTCAAATCACTGATGTTTTCTCACCAGTGAGGTTACAAAATGAGATGCACAGCAGGAAATTAAATAATGAAACTGAAATAAAATGTAATAGCAAGTGTTTTGCAGATTCAACTACCCGACAACTAACATTCACCCAAGGTAAGGCTGAAGCTATAGCTACCTTCCTGGACCTAAACACAGGCAATTTATCAAAGTGCCAGGCCTATACCTAGTCCGAGTCCCAAATCTGGCCACCATCAGGGCAGCAAATCTTCTTAATACTGCAATTAGCTCCATACACTCAAATGGTGGGGCCAGATAAATGTAAGATTGTTGCTTTTAGAACCAATCATATGACGGGCATCTCTGAAAGCTACTTTAATGGATATCTAAACACAAGAACAATACTTTCATATATTGCAGCTTACCAGTCCTCAGATGTGGCTGCTGCATTTGTTTTCTTTTTTCAGACCAAGTACACTTTCTGTTCATACAGAAAAATACCTGTTGATTCTGACAGAAATCCAGTGCACTTGTAACCTTCTGTTTGCTCAACTGATAGCTCAAGCAATGTACTAACCTCTCCAGCTATTTTCTGTAAACTACAAAACAAACCTCCTTTATGACATGGAAATGAGGAGAGGAAGAGGTGTTTGTAGTGCACATCTGGAGAGCAGCCAAGGGTGACAAACTACTGTATCTATGAGGTAGCAGCATTAAGTGAGGGATTCTATTATCTTCTATACACAAAGGATGTAAAAGGTTTGGATCCAATACATTTCACCATACAATGTTTCAGAAAATGGGCACATTAAAGCTGAACCTGATAAAGATCTAAATTAAAAGAAACAATAATGCAGCCCTGTAATTATAAATACATTTTTTTACATATACAAGCAGTGTAAGTACCTGAATTTGACTATATCACTCAGACTGAGGGAGGGATGAGCAGCACAAGGAGCCAGTTGTGCAAGGGGCATACTGATGGGAAGAAAGAGCAGAGAGGGTGGGGGTGGGAAGGAGACCTCCTAAGTGTTACTTATCTGCAGCAGTGGAAAATTAGGTCTCCTGCCCTTTCAGACAGTACTGTGCTATGTGACACAGCTATGTACATTTCAGGACAAGGACAGAAATACAAATATTTGGCAGGTAAAATGGCTCTATTTTACGTATTTTAGTAACATATATTATTGACTTTAAGTCATTACTATAGGCTACTGGGCTGCAATCCACCACCTTTAAGTTTACAAGGATAGTACAATAAATGTATAATGCCTGGGTGGTCTGTTGTGGCATGTACTTGTCTTCTGATCAGTTGTTTTGGAAACACTCAGAAAATAATATCTGTACTTAGGTCACCAGAAGCCTTTAATTAAACTTGCAATTAGGGATAGTCAGAATCCTGCACTTAACAAAAGGAGGTTTTCTAAAAGGTAATGTAATATTACAATGCATGTACTCTTTACCTCTTCTCTAATGTGCTCTACTTGCTCTTCAAGGTATTCATTCCTTTCTGTAAGGGTTTTATTCTTCTTTAACAATGACTGACCAATCCGAGCAGCTAACTCCAGATCTCGTTCTTTCTATGTGCATAAAGAAAAACAGAATACAAATGTTTATTGTTACAGATCAATACAGGTATTTGGTGTTAATATTTAGCCATGTTAAATAAAGTTATTTTCTTTTACATCGTACTAGCAAACCACATAGGGCAAACACTTGCCTGGTGCTGAAACAATAAAGTGGGTGCTTCTATGCAACTACAAAACTTGGTCTCTATGTGCATGGTATCATTAATGGATTACCTATAAAAAGACATTGCTTATTATGTTGCTATCAGCAAGCAAAGAAAGTCTGCTTGGCACACCTTTATCAACATCCTTTTTCGAATGACACGTACAGAACTCCCTTCCAACATTTTAAAACACTTATTACAATTCACTTCTTTACAGACCTGTCATATGGGCATATCCCTTACCGGTTATTAATACCAATGCTAAACAAACTTTCCAAATGACTGTACATAGTATTAACCTGGCTCAAAAACCTGAGTCACATTGACAAGTTCCTCTCTGCTATATCAGAAAGTCCCCATTTTACCCGTAAAATATAGAATGGCATCTAGCTGGAAAGCAGAGGTTGAAGAGAGAAGAAAAGAGTGTGAGACTAGCTTGAAAAAAGGGGCAACTTTAAGAATGTTTAATTCATATTTTTGTTCATAAGAAATGAAAGTACATCCCTAACCATTTTTGTTGGGTTTTGAATTGAGCAGGAAGCTTGAGAACTTCAGCCGTGGTTTTTAGAGCTTTATAGGTTCCTAATGGAGACATTTTTCCTCTCCATTTGTCCTGGTGGCCTCTGTCACAAAGACCGGAAGTATTGGAAAATATTAAATATATGGTTGACACATTTTGCATCCAATCAGATTGTTCTGGTATTTTGACAGCCAGCAGGGCTGACTAGCAAGATACTGAAGCTTGGCCCAGCGGGAGATTGCTCCATCCACAGTTTAGAGTAGATTGAGGACCATAGAAACCATCTGCAGATAATCTATAGGTGTATGACCAGCTTTAAAGGCGAAAAGTTGAGGCCACCTTAGGAAGGTAAGAAGCTCTAGACCTCAGCACCACTTTGTCATTGTGAAAGACTAGAAAGAGCTCTATACAGAACAAGGTGCCAGTTAAGACACACATCACGCAGAGGTAATGGCAATGGGGAATGCAACCTTGTGCATAAAAGTGGATAGGGTAATATCCCTGACAGGTTGAAAAAGCAGTTTTTGTAGAGCTGACAGAACCAACATTTAAAACCCATGGAATCAAAGGTTCTACAAAAGGAGTTACATGAGAAACACCCTGTACAAAGGTTATAACCAACACATGGCAGGCAAGCGGTCATTGGAATAAGATGGCAAGAGCCCAAATTTGATTATTGATATCAATTAGGGACAAACAGTCATCCAAGTCTGATTGTAAAAAGGTCAGGATTCATCCCACTGATTATTTGCTGCAGTGTTTTTTTATTTGCTCCTGTTTTTTTCCACAACAGGGGAAGAACGCATTCCATGTGAGTTAGTTTACCTTATAAGAGGTAGAAATCCTAAGTTTTAGTGCAGGGGTGTGGAATTCCTATCGCCCGACGCCCGGGACAGGCAGTTTCGGGCGTCGAACGAGTAGTTTTTTTCTACATTTAGCCCGGCTGCGGGCAAGCAGCACTGCTAAATGTAGTGTGGGAGCCGTTTTGTAAGAGTGATTTTCAACGGCTGTGCAGCCGTCCAAAAATCACTTCTAACCTGCCTGAATCTCGCTTCTCCTCTCCTCCCCCCTCCTCCTCTCCCCTCTCTCTTATCTCCAGCGGCCGGCCGTGTACTGCTCCCGGCTGCCTGTCTCTCTGCACCTGGGCTTCCTTTTTGCCGTAGGTCTTCACCCCCCCTCTTGTGCGGGATTGATGACCACGGCAAATTAGGTTCCAGAGCATGGAGCAAGGCAGAGAACGGTTCTCTACTCTGCTCCATGTGCGCAGTGACACAGGAATGCAGCCTTCCTGTCACAGGAGAAATAGTGCAGAGCTGTGCTAGAACTCCTGTGTTGGAGGTGACAGGGTCAATAAAGAGAACCTGTCACCTCCAAAAGCTATCACACAAGGGCTTGTTACCCTTGTGTGATAGCAATAAAGTCAAGTAAAAAATAAAATATAACACTTAAAAATGTAAACATAAAATTGGAAAAAATTATAAAAAATGTAAATACATAAAAATAGAAGAAAAAAAGGCGATAAAGTAAAAAAAAAAAAAAAATGATAAAAAAATATTAAAAGCAAAAAAAAAAGTAAAATAAAAATAAAAAAAATGAAAACCAATCCCTATCATCTGCATGCGAATAAACGCATGCATGGGGCATTGTGTGAGTGGAGTGGGCGATCCGTTACCACACGACAATCGTGCACAAAACCGTGTGGATGGCCGGGCGGTCACAGAATCTCACACCACCGCCGATCACGCTGGCAGTGCCATTATTGTCTAACAGTACCCCAGTTGTACAAGGCAGATTGCACAGTTTCCCGCCGCAGTAACGCCCGTGCAAATGCACATAATCTCGATTGAAAACATTCCGGGATTACCACGCGGATGTAACCCCATTGAAATCAATGAGACCGCGAGGCAACCGTACATGGCCTCGCCCAAGTCTGCACCCGACCCAAACGGTAAATTCACTTTCCCAAGTAATTTGGAAAAACTGAATTACCCGCACAAATCTGGTCCAGGCACCATGCCCCCCACTATACTTACCTTTCAGGGAACGGTCCTTCCCATCCGCCAGTATGGGTGTACTATCTGTACCTGTGCCATTGTAATCTGAATTTTGCTCTCAAAATTCAAGCACTCGTTGGTCAGCGCAGTCATCTGACTGCACTGACCAACGAGAAGCTCTTCTTGGCATTGCTAAATACGGTTATGGTTAAAAAAAAATCTTTTTTTATATCAGGACAAGTAGATTTCCATGAGGGACAAGTAGATCAGGCCCCCGCTTTAGTCCTTGGACAAGTAGTTTTTTTTTAAATTTCCACACCCCTGTAGTGTGAATTTCTGACTCTGAGACTTCAATCTTTAGGCCATGGGCTTGTGCCATTAAAGCCAGCAACCAAGAAAAAGGATGATAAATTGGTCCCTGAAAAAGGAGATCTGGTTGATCTGGACAAGGCCATGGAGTGTCTGCCTTAAGTCTGATCAGGTTGGAGTACCATCATCTTAATCCTGCAAAGTAGCCGGGGAATGGAGTTTTCAGAAGGAAAGGTGTAGATCAAGCTATACTGACCCCACAGAGTCAACAGAGCATCTACTGCTTCTTCCAGAGGATCTCTGGAGACAAAAAACTGTTCAGGTTGTTGTTATACCTGGAGGCCGAATGGTCCACATCTGGTGTCTTTCCTGTAAACAATTATTGGGTGAAGGAGCATTCCCTGGGGACCAGTCACTGTCAACTGAAATAGTCTACCAACTTTTAAATTCCAGATATGGGAACGGCAGGCAAGTATGGAACATGGAGTTCTGCCCAAACTTCTGCTAGAATCCTCTCTACTTCTTTTGCAGAGATTTCCGATTCCTCCCTGACAGTTGATGTACACTACTAATGTGGTATTGTCTGACTGGTCTGATGACCATGTAGGTGGGGTGTGCAAAGATGCAGGGATAGACAAATTGCCCATAACTTCAGTAAGTTCATGGGAAGATGGGATTCCTCCTCCGACTTGGTCCTCTGTTATCATTCCTGAGGATCTTCCAAGGGAGTGAAGAAAGGATCTCCCAAATCCAGAGCTGAATTCATTAGCCATTAGGCCAGATACAACCTATCTGCTGAAACTGGAAGAGAATTTACTCCTAAAACCAACATGTTCATTAACAAGAATGCAAATCATTAGCAGACTCCACAACAGATAGACTCTGCTGTACACTATTCACCAATCTTTTTGTTAAGCTCCTTAACATGTATACATAGAACACACATATACTGTCATTTTCATGAACAGTTTGGGGTTAAAGTATTTTACGGCCCAGGTACAAGAAACTTACTTCTTCTAGAAGACGTGTTACAGCATCTATATCATTGTATGTTTTAGTCATCTGGCCAACTCGTTCAGCACATAAAACTGAAAAAAAATAAAAACAAGAATAAAATGTACGCTTTTTTAAAAATTACGTAAAGGAATCCTGTCATGATGCAAAACACTTGTTTAATTAGGCTTCAACTGAAGCAGCCATTCCCTTTAATGGAGACCTGCACTGAGAGAGGGACAGCAGCCATTGGTAACCTCAACAACGTCTGCTTGTCTATGGTACCAATACTTTCCGTATCATTGTAATGACGCTGGCCATGCACTGCTCGAATTTCCTGCTGACTTGGATGGAATTTGAGCAGTGTGTGGCCTTGACATAAGTTGCTTTTTTTTTTAAATCATCTTTTGATGGGAGACAGTTACATAGTTAGTCATGCTGAAAAAAAGGCATAAGTCCATTGAAATCAACCTATAGAGATAAGAGAAGAAAAAAAAAAAAAACCTAAAAACAGAATGCTATGTCCACAATTGCCCCCTGTTGATCCAGAGGAAGGCGAAAAAAAAACCAAAAAAAAAAAAACCTATAAAACCATGGTTCAATTTGCTTTAACAGGGGGAAAAAATCCTTCCTGATCCCATAAGGCAATCGGATATTCCCTGGATAAAACAATCTCTGGTGCTTAATATACATATAAGAACTCTATATCCAATAACATTCTGTGCATTTAGGAATACATCCAGTCCGAAAAGTTGTCGCCAACAGTGACTATAGCCAAAAAGCTGCAATCACTGTTCAGGTATTCTGACAGCAGCACAAGCGGCACTATTTGTATACAATAACCCAGTGGGGGTGGGAATTCACCCATTCATGCTGGATACAAGCAGTGTATGGCCAGCTTTAGCGTGCAGCTTTTAAAGTCGGAAATTCTGGATCTGAACATTCATTTTGGTGACTCAAAAATACTGAAGCCTTTTAAAATCAGCATAGCAGCAAGGTGCCTAGCATTTTCACAAGGTGGGTTCTGCAACAGCCGGCTATGTATTTCCCAAATACTAAATCAATTCACTGTTCTGGAACTAATCTGTAGTAAATGCTTCTATCAGAGCCTAATCACATCTGTGTTTGGTGCAAGGGTTGATTAAAAGGGAAAAAGTTACTATTACACAGAACAGTGCATATATATATATATATGTGCATATATATATATATATATCGCAGTATTGCAGTGTGCAATGATACCTTTCTTATTGGACTAACAAAATATATAAAAGACAAGCTTTCGAGAGTGAACCTCTCTTCTTCAGGTCAGAAGCAATATATATATTTTGTATTTTTTTTTGTATTACACACAAAGAGGTGAGGTGTTATCTTGTCTCAAAGTGATTAATTAAAGTCAACTATTAGTTTAGTTACACATTTTTCAATCCACTATATTTTGTAATATGTTTTTATATTATTATTACTACCACTAAAAATACATAATTGAATTTCAACTCATACATTAATATTTGTGTAATTTCACAAGCAGCGGTACCCCACAAGCATGTCTGAACACACCATGGGCTCATAAGAAATTATGACCCCAAATGCATTGATTATATACACAATACCAAATTGTGTACCTGATCTATTATCCTGGTTGTTCATTTCCCTATAATAAGATAGTGAATGGCAAATAAAGTATCTCGTACATCAAACATCCATTGGGATCTATATCGCCTCAATTTGTCTGTGCATGGCTGCATTATGTATGTACAATATGCAAGAGACAAAATATGATTAACATTTTCCTGAAAAATGCATTTATAACATGAACATTGGGTGGCAAACGAGAAAGTCTGAACAGCAAAATAGAAAGGCTGAGAAAGCGCAAGCATATTATTGTGCTTTGTACTGTCCAAGATTTACAACATAATCTGATTAATCCAAATGATTTTACTTAGGACAGATAGGCATATAATGCTAGGCAACAAATGGCATTTTATTAATTTGTTAGTAGACATTTAACACCCTATTGACATATGGTCCCCATGGTATTAATGATCAGCAAACAGCAATAAATAACAAAAAGTTACATCTCTGACTATTAAAACATTTCTCATGTACCCAGTCATAATTCCGCACATGTAAATATAATACTATAGCAGAAAACTATATAGTGTAAGGATAATCTGATTAATATCTGTTGCCCCCAACGCAAATGACGGAGATCTACAACATCAGATACCACAATCTCTGATCGTATGAACCATAACATAATGGAGCAAAAACCAACACAGAGCTAAGCCCATTGGTGAACAGAGTCTATAATCTTCATATATGTTCTGTGCATGGGTTGGGCTGTGAGTTGCATGCCAAGCACCCTTTTCACTATAAATAGTCCCGTTCCTGTAATCCTGTTCTGCTAAGGAAAATAAACATCCACTAAAAAGGTCTCTCTACACATGTCATTGTTTGTTCTGTTGCCCTGACAGCAATTCCGTAACCTGAGCTTCAAATAATAAATTTGGCCTCTTGTTATCTATGTACAAATTGACTTCGTTTACTTTCACCATCCTTAAAACTGCCTACTGTGAGAAGTGTACGTGCGACACAAGCCAGATATTTTTAGCCCACATGATGATTAATAAGTGGATGATGACAGTGTCTGATAAGTTCATTTTAAGAGATAAATAAAAGGTAGGGAGCAGCCCATGCCACTCCTATCGCCTGTTCAATATGATCTGTGTCTGCTCCATGGATGCATTTGAACATTTAAAAAGTTTAGACCATTCATTTTAGGCAATAATTACCTTACGACCTAGCACTTAAATTTCCCCCACCATAGGCCAATTCAATTGGGCAGCCATCATAAAAAATGATCAGGCTGAATCTTCTGTGCAGGGAGCAGAGGCACCCAAGGGCGTAGTCACCCTAAGGTTGTAGGTGCCTTTCCCCAGCACATTTGCCCCACCAATTAAAGTTCATTTGAGTAGTGTCATCACACTGTACCATGATCTGGCACAATGCACTGACACAGTGAAAGAGGTGGTCTGGAGCACTGTCCAGTTGGACTCCAGCATTATACATATACTGTATGTGTCATTG